TAAATTTAATAGCACAATCTAATTCATTTTAAGTGATTATTGACATTCTATCATTAATTACATGTTCAATTAATACTTCATATAAATTAGTATTCAGATAAAATCTATATTAGTATTAGTTTCATAGATTCCTTTCCAGAAATTAATTGTGGAGATATTATCATGATATTCATCTTCTTTAGATTAATTTGGATGTTGCCTTTTCTCTATATTTCATCATTTTATATTTCAATCTTATTCTTTTCAATTTATTCTTTCTTGCTTTTATTTCTATTCTTTTCATCTTTTCTGTTTCTTGGCTGCCTTGTTCTTCCTTCTTATTTTTACATCATTTATATTTTCTTTCTCCATTATTATGATACATAATTTTGTCACAATAATGTATATGCCAATGGAAATATTGTTAAAAATGAGATAAAAATGAAAAAGATGAATCTATAAGTGCAATAATTCACATCATTATTATTTTAGTTATGACGACAATATCTATTGCATTTCTAACTTTGACGATGATATTGTTATCTATTCATTTTTGTATCAATTATTATTTTTAACTAGTACGAGTTTCCTTTTTTTGTTATATTATTCGACTGTAGTTTATGTCTATTTTTATATTACGTTATATAAGATATTTCATTGTGTTGTATAGTTTTTTGATATAACCCAAAGCAACATAAAAAGAAAGTAAAGAAAACATAATAACCAAAAAATTAATCCAAAATACATTGCTTAAAAAGTCATCATAAACACATGTTTTATAAAACAAATTCTTCTAACTCTGTGGTGTCTTCTGAACCACCAATTTTCATGACTATTGATTGCCTTTTAGTACTTTTTTTTTGAACTGAAGAAGCAGAAGGAATTTTTGATTCTTTTTTTAAATCTTTATTTAGGTCATTAATTTGAGATGGTCGTTGAGGTATTTTCATTGAATACCCTAATGCCATTTCAATATCTTTTTGTAATTCTATAATCAATTGTTCTACTTCACTTTTTGGAGTTTTTAAGTTTTCAAGAACCATTTCCTCTTTTAATTTTCTTTTTGATTGTGGTTTTAATGTTTTAGGTGATTGGTTTTCAGTAGTTGACACAATTGGAACATGAGGAAGAGGGGTTTTAGTTGAAGCGTCTTGAGTTACATTTGGTGAAATAACATTTACATCAACAAGGTAAGGATTAAAAATAAAATCAGATATATTTGAACAAAGTTCATTATATTCTTCATTTAAACTAAGTTTAAATGTTTTAGCAAAGAATTTAACGTCTTCCTTTGGTCTTTGAAGAAGTCTTTTCATTATTAATTTTTTGATAACTTCAGGAGATTCTTTTGTGATATGATTGTATCCTTTAAAATTTAATATTTCTTTTAATAAATTAGTTGAACCATGTGACGTTCCAAATAATATTTCATAAATTGTTTTTAGCTTCTCTTGAGATAATTTCTTTATTCTTTCTATTAGTTTTTTATTTCTTCCAATTTGTATTATATTTTCTTCATTATGTCTTTTATTAGGTTTTTTTTCATTAATTAACGATATTTCATCCAAGTTTATTCTATCTGCTAAAGACGTTCTTTTAAATGGACTTATGTTTTTACTCATTATAAAGTAAAATTTAATATTTAAAGTTGTATTATTTTTTATTTTAATAAAATTTTGAAGAAAAAAGAATAAAAAACAAATATATCACTATCAAAATTCTAATCATTCCCAATTTTCATAACTTTTAGGTGCTTTAAAGTCTGAATATTTCGCTAAACTAAGTACTGTCTTAACATGTTCAACACTAACACCATACGCATCACAATGCCTACATTTTCTTCTGCCACATTTTGGACAAACAATAACTAGTTGGTTTATATTAACTGCAAATAAATATTCACAAGACACACAATAGAAAGGAAATTTATTTGGATCTTCCATTATTTTATCCAATTGTGTTGTATCAACGTCATGAATTTTATCTTCTAATAATGACTGTTCAGTATACAATGAGCATTCACCTAAATGAAAATGTTCATATCCATCAATTTTTTTACCACAATTATAACAAAAATATGTACCACAAATACATGTTATTTTATTACATCCATAAGACTTAATAACTGGACATTTACAAACTGGACATTTCTTGATATTTTTTGTCATTAACTCACCTACTATTTCATCATAATATTGTTGTGATTTATATTTTTCTAAACAATTTGATGCATCATAACATTGTCCATTATGATTCTTTGTTAAACATTTACTACAAAAAGTTTTTTCACATCTAGGACATTGAATTGGTGTAGACTTTTTATAAACAATAGGATCTACCATAATTCCTGAATAAGAACAAAATGGACAAACAATAAAATCATCTCCTCCACTCTTTACATAAAGTAGAACAAGTTGATTTTCATATTTATCAATTAAATCTTTTGGACAACTTTTTTTCATTTCCCAAGGTAATATTTCTGCTTTACATTCAGCATATGGACATTCTACATAAGTACCATTTGTCAATGAAACTGCTACTGACTCTTTTAAACAGTCATTACAAAGATAATGTCCACAAGAAGACAACACAATAAAATTTGAAGGAGGATATTCTTCATAACAAACATCACAAGTAATAAGTGGAGTAGAATAAAATACTTTTCTAGTTTCATCATAATTATATTGAAGAATATTTTTTTCTCTTTCTTCTCGTGAGATTGGGATTTCACTAAAACTTAATATGTCAAGTTGTTTTGGTGATAAGTTTGAAAGAAATTCATATAATAACATAAATAATCCTGAAAAATTAAATTGTTGAAATTCATCTTCAATTCTTGTTTTAATTTCTATCATATCTTTAATGGTTAACCAAAGACTATTCATTTGAAAAGATGGTTTTTCTTCATTATAACTAATAAGTATAGTAATTGGTGTTAAATATTTAATTTTAACTTCATTTTTATTCATATACATTCGTGGAACATTTCTAATTGGAATAATTTTAAATGGAATTTCATTTTCTAATGAAACAGTAATGTTCATTCTAAATTCATTTGGCTTAATATATGTAACAGAATTAGGATAAATGCTATTTATTGTGTTGTATTCTTCTAATACTTCATCAGAACAAATAATATCTTGAGATTCATTTTGTGACATCAAGAAGTTTTATACTTTCTTTTTTAGTGAAACTTTTTTTCTTGGAACTAATTTTATTCATGAAGTTTGAGTTTTAACATTATTATAACAATTAACTATTTTTTAATTTTTAATTTAATGAATAACATAAATTTATCTATAACAAAAAAGGGTTTAATGTTTTATTAAAAAATATTATTATTCATGAGCGTTCTTTCTAAACACCCTCTAAATTCGTTGAAAATTAATTCAAGACTAATTCAAACATGTGAAGATAAGTTACAAGTTAAAACATACTCACACGTTCAATATGCAGCTATTCCTGAAATATTACAAGAAAAAGATTGTCTTGTAAAAGCACAAACTGGAAGTGGTAAGACATTAGCTTATTTACTTCCAACAATAACTATGATTTTAAATAAACATCCAAAGTTAAAAAGAACTGATGGGTTATTTTGTTTAATATTAACACCAACAAGAGAATTAACTCAACAAGTATATGATGTCTTAACTATATTAACAACATCAATTATTGGATTGGTACCATCAATTGTAGTTGGAGGTGATAGTAAGAAAAGTGAAAAAGCAAGAATAAGAAAAGGAGTAAATATTTTAGTAGGAACACCAGGAAGACTATTAGATCATATCAATTCAACAAACAACTTGAAACTAGATAAAGTAGAATTTCTTATTATGGATGAAGCAGATAGAGTTCTTGATGCAGGATTTGAGAAGGATGTGATTGAGATTATAAATCACGTTAATAAAAATAGAACAAGTATTTTAGTAAGTGCCACTTTAACTGAAAGTGTAAAGAAATTATCTAATCTCGCACTTAAAAATCCCGTATTTATTGATGGAGATAAAAGAGAAAATGCAAAAGAAAGAAAGAAATTAAAATTAATTAAAGAAGAAGAAAACAATCAAGAAAAAACAGAAAAAATAATTAATGAAGAAAAAATAGAAGATAAATTAATTTTACCTTCAACATTAAAACAATATGCAATATTGATAACAGATAAGTATAGACTTGCTTATTTAATTGCATGTTTAAGAACATTTTTAAAAGAATCTATTCAAAGAAAAATTATTGTATTTTTTTCATGTATTCAATCCGTTAATTATCATTATTCATTATTCTCTCAACTTCAATTTATGGATAAAACACCTATTTTACCAGAAACTTCCCTTTTCAGATTACATGGTGATTTAACAACTGTAGAAAGACATGATGGTATGCAAAAATTTATTAAAAGTAAAAAAGCTGTATTATTTACAACTGATGTAGCTGCTAGAGGAATTGATTTAAAAGATATTGATTGGATTATTCAATATGATCCACCAGGAGAAACATCAGAATATATTCATCGAGTTGGAAGAACAGCAAGAATTGGAAGAAATGGAAATTCATTATTAATGTTATTAGAATCAGAAGGAGAATATGTAAATTTATTAAGAAATGAAGGTGTTATTATTGAAGAAATGAAACGAGATGAAGTAGTCAAATCTTTGAATATGGCAGGAGGAGATAAAAAAGTAATAAGTAGATTGCATGAAATGCAATTACAAGTTGAAAAGTTACTTATTGATAATGAAGAGTTAAAAGAAATGGCAATTAAGTCATTCCAAGCTCATTTAAGATCATACACAACTCATCGTGGGGAATTAAGAAAAATATTTTCAATTAAAAAATTACATATTGGTCATATTTGTAAAAGCTTCGGTATAAGAGATACTCCTACTTCTGTGATGTCTGTTATTAAAAAACAAGATGGCTTTTTAACAAAACCAAAAGAAAAGAAAAAAGAAGTAAAAGAAGGGATGAGAAAAATGTCAGAATTCGATGCTGGAATCATTACAAAAAAGAAAAAAAAGAGGTAAAAGTAAGACTAACAAGACATTACCTTAAAAAAAAAAATAAAATTGATTGATTTGTTCAATTAGTTATTCAAATAATGAAATATTATAATAGTTTGAAGTTGAAAAAAAAGCTTTTTTTTTATTGTTTAATAACTTTTTATATATTTTTAAAAAAAAGAAATAAAAACAAATAGAAAAGAATTTGAAACAATTTTATTTTCAAAGATTAGTTATTTTTAAAACTATCATATTGTCTAATTGATAAAAATAAAAAATGCGAGAGATTTATTTTTAAAACAATAATCTAAAAATAAAGAATGAAAATAGTAAATAAATAAAAAAATTAAATAATTAATAAAAATAAAAATAGGAGATTTATTTAAAGAAATTGTGACGAAAAAACGAAGAGGCAAAAAAAAGAATAAAAGTTTCAAAGACAATTAGAACTCTCTCTAACTCTAAAATTCAAATTGTTTTAATGTCAACAGTGAATGACAGTTTATGTACATCAGAAACAACAGATACATGTGTAATATTTGAAGTTTCAAATACAATTAAAGAAATAGAAGAAACAAGTAATGGACTATATTCAAAAAATGGATGGGGGAATGATTCGTCATCAACAATTGTTCAACCGATTAATCCAGAGTTTATTGTATTTCCAGTAGATGAAGAATCAGAAAAAAGAATGTATGCAAATGAAGTTAATATTCAAATATTAAAAGAAATAGAAGCAACAATGAATAAACTTCAAAAAGCTAATAAAAAGAAAGATAAATTAGCACGTTTAACAGGAAGAAGAAATAGTTTAGAAAAAATATCACCATTTTTAGTTTCAGAAACTTCAGAAGAAGCAATTCGTAATGGAAATTTAGTTCTTAAAAGTGATCATATTAAACAAAAAATTGGTGAACGACCAGATCCAATAATTCTCTCTAAACATGTTGTTGATAATAAAAAATCATTTGATAAAAATGAATGGAAAACAAAAGAAAAAATTAATAAAATTTCTAAAATATTTGGACGACCTGATTCAATTAGAACAATTGCTCTTCTTCTTCAATCATCATCGCCAAATGAAGCTATTATTAATTCTATTAAAATAAAAAAAATGGAAAAATTAAAGAAACTTGCAGGTATTGAATAAATTGTATAGACAACCTTTTATTTATCTTACAACATATTTACAAATTCACTTCTTTTTTATTTCTTCTTCTTCTTTTTTTTTTTCATTAAATTCTCTTTTTTTTTTAAATTAAATTGAACTTAGAAATGTATTTTCTTTGATGGACTCAGAGTTATTTGTTGAAAGTCATTCTAAACCAATCATAACTTATGACTCTATTACATGCTATAGCATTTTAATTAATTATATTGTTGGTACTGGTGTTTTTGGATTACCATTAGCTTTTAGAACAAGTGGATTATTATTAGCAATTTTAATGTCAATTACTTTCTTTGTACTTTGTTGTATTACAGCATTTTGGATGTTAGAGTCATTAGCCCGTACATGTGGATTACATTCATTAACTTCAGAAGGTAGACCAATTACTCAAATAACAACAATACCATCAAGTGTAACAAAAATGGGAAATATATATTTTGGAGTAGTTGGAAAAAGAACAGTAATAAGTGTGTTAAGTCTTTTTTGTATTGGAGCACTTTGGGCATATTCATCAATATTTTCATCAACAACTACATTACTATTATGGAAATATATTTTTCCAAAATATGGAACTTGTTCAGCAAATATTGGTATTTGGGGATGGTTTGATCATTGTCATATTACTTATATTTTTTCATTACTATTTTATTCAATGCTTGTTTTACCTATGTCATTCATGGAAATAGCAGAACAAGCATTTGTTCAAAAATTCTTAACAATGTATCGATTTGCTGCTATTTTTTTAATGATTTTTACGTCCTTTATTAGTTTATTATATCGATCACCTTCATATTCTGATGATGATATTATTGACCCAATTGCTTTATTTAATTTAAATGGGTTTGGAGCTGCATTTTCAGTTATTTCAGTATCACTTGCATGTCACCATAATATTCCTGAAAGTGTAGCACCATTACAAAATAAACGAAAATTAAAAAAATTAATATTTATTACATTACTTTCAGCAACAATAATTTATATTACTCTTGGAGTCATTGGTGCACTCTGTTTTGGAAAGAAAACAGTATCACCAATAACAACAAACTGGTTAGAATATACTGGATGTGATGGTGGATTTGGAATATGTCAAGATCATAAAATAAGATGGTATGGATATGTTATTCAAATTACTATTCTCATGTTTCCATTAGTAAATTTAACATCAGAATATCCATTAGTAAGTGCTACATTAGCTTCAAATATTTCACAACTTTCATCTGAAAATACTTCAAAAGTTTCTTTCAGTTCTAAATGTTTAGCTGCATTTCCACCTTTATTATTAGCAATGATTAAAGCTGATTTATCAAAAATATTTGGATTTACTGGAATATTTGGATTTGTATTAATTCTTATTCTACCTTCAATGTTCCAAATTTTCTCTAAAAAAACTTACAAACTTCAATTTGGTAAAAAAGCTTCAACAACAATTTATTCAGGAGTGTATAGTACTTCTAAATTGGCTTGGTGTGTATTAATTATTTCTATTATTCTTTTTGCATTTTCTGTTGTTCAAAATCTTGACAGTTTATTCAATATTAATTGGTTAAATTAAAATTAAGAAATATGTTACTTTAAATTCTTTCTTCTCATTTTATAATATCATTAAACCAATCAATTTCTTTTTAATTTATTTCTTTCTCTTTTTCATAATAAATTCATTTGATTGAATGTTACATTTTAATGAAAATTACTTTAATCTATACTTCATAATAAATAAAATTATTATTCTTTTACTTTTCTTTCATTTTATTTCTTCTTTTAGTTACTATCTATACAACATATATTTTATTTCATATCAATAGCTTTACTTTTTCAATTATGTCAAGTAATTTAATTACTGATATGTTTAATTGTAATTACTTGGTTTTAACTTATTTTTCTTTCTTTTAAATTAATTAAGTGATCTTAAATTATTAATTATTACTTTACATGCTCTTAGTACTTCTTTTTTATTCTTCATTTGCTCTACCTTCTTTTGAAGGTGAATTTGCTTCTAAAACTAGAAGTTATACTATTATGAAAAATGATTTGTATGATAATGTATTTGAAATATATACAAATGAAATACTTTATCAAATTATTATTCGAGAAAAAACAGTTGAATTAATAGATAGTCATAATACTCTGTTAGGAAAACTTCATATAAATAATCAAACTACTGACTTACTTGCAACTGATAAAAACTACTCTCTTTTTATATCTCAAAATCATATCACTATCAAAAAAATTAAATCTGGAACTATGTTATTTGATGCAGAACGAGTTCCAAGTCATTTTATTCATGATGTTTTTTATCTTACTTTATTTTCTTTAATTGTTATTCTTCATATAATGGTTTGGAGACAAGGAGGTGCATTATTAATACCTGGTTCTGTAATTGTAAAAAATTTGAAACAGGAATGAAAGGGTTAATAAATTTCTAATTCATAAATTTTATTTATACTTTTTAGAGTAATTTTAAGAGACATAAAATGGAATTTTTCAAAGGAATTTGTTTAAGGGTTGTGAAAGAAAGAGAGTCTTTTCAAACTTTTTTTATTTAAAAAATAAGAAAGAACTTAAAAAATATAGAAGATGGTTAAAAATATTGGAGCCTTACTTCTTGGAGTTCTTGGAGGAATTGTAGCTGTTATAACTGTCATTCCTGGAATTATTTTCTTATGGAAAGTTATTATTAAGCCATTATTATTCCCAACTAATACTAAAAAATATAAAGGAGAAAAGACATATTGTATTGTTACTGGAGCTGCTGGAGGAATTGGAAAAGCCTTTGCTGAAAAGTTTGCTAAAGAAGGATTTAATTTAATTATTATGGATAGACTTGCAGAACCACTTGCTGAGTTAAAGAAAATGCTCGAAGAAAAATACAATGTAACTGTTGTTGATTATGTTGCTGATTTTATTGCTATGGATAAAAATAATGAATGGAATAAAGTAGAAGAATTAATTGCTAATTATGATATTGGGGTATTAGTTAATAATGTTGGAATGTGTAATTATCTTCCAGGTAAATTTGGACAACTTGAATTAAAAGACATTAACAATATGATCTCTTTGAATATAAGAACTTTGTTAATGATGACTCATATTTGTATTCCAAAGATGGAAGGAAGAAAAGAAAAAGGTTTAATTGTGAACATGTCATCATCTACATCTGGATATCCACATCCATTAATTCAAGTTTATTCATCAACAAAAGCCTTTGTTAGACAATTCACTGACTCTATTTATGCTGAATATAAAGGTAAGATTGATGTTATTGCTTATACCCCATGGTATATTAAGACTGATATGACTAAAATTAGAGAAAATGCAATTTATGCATTGACACCATCTGATTTCGTTGATTATGCTTTTAGATATTTCGGTCAACAAAATCATATTAACCCATATTGGTTCCATTATTTAATGGACATTGGAACTTCTACTATTCCAGAAGCTATTTTCTCAAAAAGTGTTATCAAACAACAAACATTTGTTAGAAAGAGATTACAAATGAAACTTGAACAACAAATGGCTGAAACTGCTTCAAAGAAAACTGAGTAAGAGTTTAATATTTTCCTTTTTTTGTTTAATTTTTTTCTATCATTCAATATAATATTATTAAAAATAAAAAAGAATTGTAGAAATAAATAGCTACATAGTTAATATAAAAGATGTTCAGTTATAACAGCTATAACATCAACTATTAAAGATGGGTTTAATGTTTGAATGTATTGAACAACTTCAGGAATTTCCATCATTTTTCTTAACTTTTCAAGTTCAAAATAAGTTGTTATTGACATTGAACGTATTATTTGTAATGATTCATTAATTTCATTTTTATCAAATTTTTGAATATCATCTCTGTCAGGTAATTCTTCAAATGGATTAGTAAGTCCAATTTTTTGAATAATTTCTTGATAATTATAAAGTAGAATATTACTAAAATCAATTTGATAACAAGTACTATCTAAAGGATTAATTTCATATGGTATATGAATTATTAATGGTCCTAAAATCATTGCAAAATTCTTTAATGTCATCATATGAATAGAACTGTATTTAACTAATCTATTAATTAGTCCGTATAATATACTTAATGATAATAAATGTTCTCTTGGTATTTTCTTTAATACTTCTACTGCAAAGTCAATCTCTTGAGATATACTTGATGAAAGTTGTTTAACTAAATGATAGTCTATTAATCCATCTGTATATTCTCTTATATATGTTTTTAATGTCCCTACAACATTATGAACATCACTTGCTCTTCTTTGCATTTGAAATAGAAAAGAAGTATCACATACAACACACTTTTCAGCTTTTTTCTTAGTAAATTCAGTATCTCCAGAGACCCTAAAAATTCCTTCGACTAAATAACCATAAGTATAAATCCACCAACACAGATTAAACACAACTTGAGGAATAACATTTTTTGGATTATTAGCACTTATATCAGTTGGATAAACTAAGATTTCGTAAATATAAATTAATAATCTAAAACTATTTAAACAAACTCTTTGGTAAAGAAAATGGATGGTCATTAAAACAAACAAATATACAACTTCCATTTAATGTTAATGCTCCTCTAATTGTTAAATTTTTTGATAATATTTTTCCAGTTTGACTTCTAAAAACAAGGTCTTCAATATCAATAATTTCTTTTGTATTTGTTTTTAAGTATTTTTGAATAACCTCACTTAGAGTTAAATGTAATGGTTCCTAAATTCATAAGTATTAATATATAAGTATTAATCAATAGAAAAAAAAATAAACTTTAACAATAGTTACTACATGATAACTCAAACATTGAATATCAAGAAGTATTTCTGATTTTTGTTTTAAATCCATTGAAGCTAATAATTTTTGTTTTTTTTCTTCACTTTTTAATATATTTTTTAACTCTTTATCTGATAATACTCGAGGAGAATCTTCATCCATTGCAATTAATGATATATCCCTTCTTTCTTCACTTGAATTCTTTGATCTCCATGACATTCTTCTAGATTTATATCCTTCTTTTTCAAATAAAATTTGAGGAGTATTACTTTTTATTTTAGGACTTACAACTGTTGATGGAACTTCATACAAACCTTCAGAAACAGTTTCAAGTCCAAGACTTTCTCTTGAACTTAGTCGAAAGCTTCTTCTAACTTTTGTTTCATTTTCTTCAGTTTTTTTTTCTTGTTTTTCCATCTTTTTTCCATAAACACTACTCCGAGTTACTCTTTCTTTTGTTTTACATGAAACTTCTACTGAAAGACCATTTATTTTATTTGTATTATTAACTGTTTTTCCTTGAGTTTGGAGGTAGTTTTTTTGTTCTGACATAATATCAATTGTGTCATCATTAAAAGAATTTTGTAATGGTTCGATAGTAAGTTCCTGAACATTTAATTCAGGTGTTTGTGTCTTTTTCTTCGTTCCATCATAAAAATCTTTTTTACTAAATCTGAAGATTGATTTTTCAGACATTTTGTTAAATTTTTAAGTTCTATAATTTTATAGTTTTTTCCCTTCATAACTTTATTTTTATGTTAAAAAGTTCCCTTAAATACCCATATTTTATTTTTATTTTATAATAACAATTTTTTTGTATTATTAATTTATTGGTATTTTTCTTTTAAAAAAAAAAGAAAATAAATTTATTACATAAATCTTTTTTTCCAATAAATTATCGTTTTAAAGTTCAACTTTTATTGAACCATTTTCAGTTTTATTTAATTCAGTCATGTTTATTACAGTTTCATTAAG